GTAATGGACAGTGTTCAGCATCCTCACAGCCTGGTGGATGAAGCTGTTTGTAAGTCTGGTGGAGTGGGCCTGAAGGCAGGAGTCTGAAGTGGGAGTGTGAGGGGTGGGAGGTGTCATCAACAATGCTGATGGCTCTGCAGGTGAGGCGGGTGTTGAAGAAGTCCAAAGGGAAGGCAGAGGGGCGCCGATGATCTTGCTGGCTGTTTTCACTATGCCTTGCAGGGTCCTTCTGCAGCAGGCAGTACAGCACAACTGTGAAATTAATAGTTTGCAAAACTACATTTCAAAGTAGTTTCTCCAGCGCCTTTTATATCAAAAAATGTACGAATGATTATTCCACAGGTGCAATCAAATAATCTCCATTTATTAAAAACAGATATGCTTAGAAAATAATAGCAGCACAGTAAGGTGCATGTTACACTGTTGTATTTCAACTAGTGGTTGATATCCTTCACCAGTGATGTTAGAGTAGTGTAAAGCCTCCTGATCAAGGATGTTACAGTCAAGCGAATACTGAAAAATATCACAAAATCACAACAATGCATGGGTTACTCAGGAATGGTATGAAAGACTGGAGCGAAGAGAGACCACATTTCTCAGTCTTTAAATCAAGTTTTGTTTTTTCTTTTGCTGTCCACAGTTTCAATGTGTCTTATGGTTTACTGAGGATATCTATCCCCCTTTATCAAAGAATACAAATGGTTAAACCTTCTCTGGACTGAAGTATCAGCTGGAGCTGTGAGGAAGGTGCTATATGTCTTTAGAGCTTTGGATTTCAATGCAAATTAATCAGTAAGAATGAACAAAGTGAGGAAAAGCCAGAATGTAGGATTAGAGGAGAAGCAGCAATACACTGCAATATGTTGCCACTGCAGGTGCCAGGGTCACACATCACAGGCTTGAGACCAGAGGCAACAGTGACAAGCTGGTTAAAGCTGCTTAGATTCACCTTAATGGACTGATTTGATAACAGATATATTGATAATGACTTTCCTACAAATAAGCTTTGCATTCCTGTAAAAGCTGTGCTTAAAGCAGATTTCCTGTTACAGACCTTTCCTTTCTCAGTGGGTAGGTGCTAGCATGGCCCTGCTTTAATTAGAATAATAACCTTACTGATGCTAACATAATCACCTAGACATTTACATTTTAATTAACTGGGAAAACTATTTACAAACAATCGGAATGGGAAAATACAGAGGTGCTCAGGCTCTTAAGAACAGTCAGTGAACCTCTTGTTATAATACTGATGTAGTCTAGAGGGGCTGTGAACGCTGCGTTCTGAGAGCTACATCAGACTGCTACGAGATAAGGTTAACTCATTATTATATGTAAAAGCAGAGAATAAATTATCTCTGAGGAAACTGTAAAAGGCTTGCTGATTACTCTAGAAAGAAGGGGAACAAAACCATGTGAACCATTTTAGAGGTCACTACATAATTTATGCTTTCAAAAAGACATTGCAAAGGTCTGTGCTGATATAGAGCAGTTTACATAATATATACATCACACACACACACTCATAAACACCCTCAAAATATTTGGATTTAAGGCTGCTTGTTGGAAAAGAAATATTATCAAAAACAGTTGCTGCAGTAGGAATCCTGCCTCATGTGCCAGTGCTGATCTTTTGTTTTGTTTGTTTTTGGGATGTGCATCTCTTGGTTTGCTGACTCATGCTCGCTTCCTGACCACAACAGGGGATCGGTAAATCTACTTAACACATGTAAAGAGTGAATTAAAAGTTGACTTAACTGCAGTACTGTTCACTATAAAACAAATGGGTCAGAACTGAGATGCTCAAGTCAAAGAAAAAGCTCAGTCATGTAATGAACAGGTTTGATGCTGGTAGCTCAGTACGCTACGTTAAGGCCAGGGGGAACTCGCTAAAGTGGAACTGCACTGTAATGAGAGCCCATATTTTAGCAAGACTAAAGAAAACCATACACTATAACCAACATTTTTTAGTGTACAATAGTGTCTGGATGACTACAGAGCACCTAAGTATGTCAACACACACAGCCTGTCCCACAGTCAGTGATGTGTCCCCAACACAGACAAAGTCAACACTGCACTGGTTGTGTCCAAGAGGGAGAGTGGGGAGGAGACTTCGTTCTTGGTAGACGGTGACTCTTCTTACAGTTTGTGTCAGAGCTGGCCATCGTCATCCCTCAACTTAAACCCGTCATCTCCACTTACGAGCTCTCCAGAGCATCCAGGACTTTCATGATCTGCTGCTTGATGACCTTGGTGGCATCGCCTGCGTTGGGAATCAAATATCTGAGAGGAGGCAGAGGGGAAAGAAAAAAAAAAAAAAGTTAACTGAAATGCAATTTTCACTATTGTTTCCTCAGAGCTATTTGAGCTATTAAAAAGTTTCCGAGTGCTAAGAAATATTTTGACATTTGAGTTGGATGAGAAAACTGGTACCACTCTCATGTCTCGACACTAAATGTGGCACTACAGCCAGGGGAGGACAAGTGTAGCTTGATGTAAAGACTTGAACACACCTGTTTTTTGCTAAGATGTAGTTACAGCATGTAGGTCTCCATTAAAGCTATAATTACTGTTACAATTTTTTGTACACATTAAACTAATGGTAGGTGGATTTTTAAACCTTGCAAAGAGCAGTTTCCTTCTGCTTGTGCTAAGCTAAATGCATCCAGGCTCTAGCTTCACAGAGTCCAGACTTGAGTGGTTGAATCTTAACGTCCAACTCTCAGCAAATTGTTATTATGCAATGTATTTCACAAAATGCTGACCTAGTCCTTTATAGGCAGCAAAAGAACGTTTTTTCCTAAAACACTGTAATGTTGGTAGAATAATCTGTAGCACTATGTATGATGTCACAGATAAAAGATGAACATGAAGTGCATCTTCAGTTTTATTAACCTTGCAGACTTCAATTAATTCAGATGGACTGTCAAATAACAGGCCAATACGTGGGTGTCCTGTATGAAAACAGCATATGAATTTAGAAACTTAAGTGCATTTGATCACTGCTATAAAAGTCACAGCCAATCAGAATAATTCCTGATAACTAGGATGTTAAATCAGAAATCTGTGTGCACAGACGAGCACCTCTCAACTGCTGATATCTCCACTCCAGTGGAGTTGTTGCTGCCAAACTTAAAGGTAATCAGTTCTGGGTGTTTCTTTTTGGATGTGATTTTCACCACAGAGTTCAGTGCTTGTCTGGACTGGATGTAGGCAAAGCCTTTCCGTGAAGCAATCTCCCTCAGGCAGTACATGTGAGTCGCTGTGATCAGCAAGTGACTGGAAACACAGAAGAACACAGTGGATGTTGACAGTCACAGATTTCTTACTTACTGCAGTTGTTTGTTCATTTTGAAGGAAGTGGTGCCTGACTCACCTTGGGAACATGTGACCAGTCTCTTTCACCTCATTACATGGAATGTGATGCTTTACGTCTGGTTTGTTTATCCAAGTCTGAATGTTGACAATCTCCTTCCTGTCGTCGTCTGACATAGATGAGCTGTCGATCTCATCTGGTAGGGACATTACATGGAGGTTACCATTTTGTTTTTCACAATAAAAGGCATCACACATTAAATATTTTTAAACTCAGGGGCTCTAATACACCCTTTAAATCTCCTGACTCGTACTGTGTTCAACGTGCCTTTACCTGTATCGTACTCCTCTTCATCACCAATACTGAACACGGGCTTCACCCCCCGGTAAGGCTTGCCAACACGGTCGCTGCTGCTCACATGCCTACAGACAATGACATTTGGGAGATTAGAGGCTCATATCAGTACTAAGTGAACTCTAATATATATATAT